ATGCATGTTGATGGTTTGCTCCCCCATCCCCCTGCGCCTGATCCCCTCCCTGCTGACCCTACCACTGCTAAGAGCAAGGCTTTTGTTGCTGCGCTTGGTCGAGCTGTCTCGGATTCTCGCGACGCAGTAGCCCAGCTTGCCATTAGCCATGCCCTTCCCCTGTCTGAGCGTCCGCGCTTCACCGCTGTTGCGAACGCCAAGGACTTTCTTCCTGCGGTAAATGAGCCTTACTCTACCCCTTCTTCCGCCTCTGCTGGCCGCTTGATCCTACCCATGCTCTTCTCAGATCTTTCTGCTTTCCCCACTGTACCTGACCTCACCACTCACCTCCGTGCACTAGAGACCAGCTACCGCACTGCTAGCTCTGCCGCCTAGCTTACTGCCTTCCCTCCACCCTTCTGCGCTACCCTGTACCTCATCGCCATGCGCCTGCCTGACCGCTTAGCCACTACCCGCGACCACTTCCTTAGTCAGCACCCTGCCGACCTCACCCTGACCGCCTTTGTCACTACTCTGTCTTAGAAAGAGACTTGCCAACGCACCATCGCTCAGTCGAGCGGTGTTGCGGCAGTCCCTATCTTTCAAGGCTGTGCCCCCTCCCAGTGCACGTACGCTGACGTCTCCACCGCAGTTGCCACGACTGCGCCTGCACCTGAGACAGCAGCTGCGGCTTACCCGTAGCAGCGCCAGCGCCTGGGCCACCGTGGCCCCAAGGGAGGACGTGGAGGTGGCGCTACTGGTGGTGGTGGCGGGAACAGTGGTTCTGACGAGGGGGTTGGTGCTGGTGCCCAGGAGCAGCAGCAGTCGCCGCAGTCACAGCCGTAGCAGTCGCAGCCGCAGCAGCAGCAGCAGCCATGACAGCAGCAGCAGCAGCAGCCGCTGCAGCAGCAGCAGCTGTGGGCTCGTCTCCCGCCCGGGTGGCCAGGAGCCCCTGGCGGTGGTGGTCATGGTGGTGGCCCTCGCTGCTCGGCGTCCACCGGCAGCTTCGGTGCTGTGAGCTGCCAGTACCAGCTTCATACCGAGCCCCTGCGTGGCACGGTATGCCGCCGCTCACACACGACCGCTCGCTACTTCCGCCGCCTCGACGACCTCTTACGTGCTGCTTTGGTCGAGCCCCAGACCTCCCTGACTGGACCAGCCTGCTGCGCCACAGTGTGCCTGTGTTTGACTCAGACATGGATCAGAAAAGTTCTGCCTTGCATTCTTTCTATGCTGACGCTTCGAGTGTTTCCAGATCGTATTAATCTGTCTTCTCTAGCTTAGGCATAGCACCTGTGTGTAGTCCAGATTCCCCTGCTGCATCAGGCGTAGGACAGCTTGCGTTGTCTAGCGTAGGCTCTACCCTTGCTCCTCTGTTGTCGGCCACTACGGCGTCGCTGTCCTTCACTCTACACTCCGGTGCGTCAACCTGTTTCTTCCCCGACCACGCCGCCCTCACGCCGCTTGCTACACCTGCCGCTGTCACCCTTGCAGACCCCTCCTCTGGTCCTGTAGTCGATGGCCGCTGGCTCTTCAAGGTGAAGCGCCTCCCTAGAGAGCCGCCTATGCTCAAGGCGCGCTACGTGGCTAGAGGATTCAGTCAGAAAGAGGGGGTGGACTTCTTTCAGACCGCGAAGATGACTACTCTTTGGGCGCTGCTATGTGTTGCAGCACAGCTTGACTACGAGCTTCACTCCCTCGACTTCTCCACTGCTTTCCTTCAAGGCAGCATTCACGAGCAGGTCTACCTGCGCCGCCCTCAGGGCTTCACCGGTACTTTCCCTCCTGGGACCCAGTGGCTCCTCCGGCGCAATGTCTACAGCTTGCGACAGGCGCCCCGTGAGTGGCACGACACGCTGCGTGCTACACTAGCTGACCTACAGTTCTTTCCGTCCTCTGCTGACCCTTCGCTCTTCGTTCATGTTGGCCTGACTCCGTTCTACATCCTTGTCTATGTAGACGACCTGGTCTTTGCTACTGCAGACAGAGACGCGCTGGCCTCCGTGAAGGCCGAGCTGCTGAGGAGACAAACCTGCACTGACCTGGGAGAGCTGCGCTGTTACCTTGGCCTGCAGATCTCCAGGAACAGAGCAGCTCGCACCATCACTCTTACACAGTCACACTTGGTGCGCCAGGTCCTTCAGAGGTTCGGTCTTCAGTTCTCCTCTGCACAGCCCACACCTCTGCTGGTAGACTACAGGCTCTCAGCTCGAGTTCCCGAGGAGTCAGCAAAGCCCAGTTGTCCTTACGCAAAGCTGGTGGGTTGCCTCAGGTACCTGATGACTTGCACTCGTCCAGATCTCGCATACCCTCTCAGCATCCTGGCCCGCTTTGTGGCCACATGCAGACCTTGACCACAGCACTGGTCGGCCGCTAAGAGGGTTTTGCGTTATCTTGCCAGTACATCGGGCATGGGGCTAGGGCTGGGAGGACGCAGGCCAGTGGTCCTTATTGGGCACATAGACGCTTCTTGGGCAGATGACGCTGAGATCCTCAGGTCCTCCAAGGGCTACTGCTTCAGCCTTGGTTCTGGTGCCATCTCGTGGAGGTCCATCTCGTGGAGGTCCATCTCGTGGAGGTCCACTCGCTGCTCGACTGCTCAGTCTAGCTGCGAGGCTGAGATCTTATGTAGTTACATGGCGGCACAGGAGCTGTGCTGGATGACCTTCTTGCTTGTTGACTTGTAGGTGAGCGTCCTAGCTCTGCCCCAAATCTGTATGCTGACAAGAGGGCCATGATCCTCCTGTGTTAGGAGCCTCGATTTCAGGGCAGAGCAAAGCACATCCAACTGCGGTACTTCCTCCGGCGCGAGCTTCAGCAGGGTCGCCAGGCCTGCGTAATACAATTGGCCTCCGGTGCCAACATAGCTGATATCTTTAGTATGGCGCTTCCGTCTAGGGATCATCAGCGGCACTGCTTGCAGTTAGGTCTAGTCCCTATTGACTCTCACTTGCTAGGCCCTTGATTGTGTACTCCTTTCTATTTATGCCTTCCAAACTGGCCTTGTGGGTTTTCTTCCAGTGGTTGGACTAGTAGTGCTGCCCTGGTTTGCTCTGTCTTGCTTGTACTCTTGCTGACTGGTCTTCGGGCCCCTGCCTCAGAGGTTGGACTAGTAGTGCCACCCTGAGCTGCGTGTTTCTTGCTCAGCACTACCCCTTATCTAGCCTAGGGGGTGTGTCAACTTATACTGTACATATATTGTTATGTAGAAGTTATTGGCTAGATAGGGTATGTTCTTAGTGGGTATAACCCAGACGCTATATCTCCCCTGTTCTCCCTTCTTCTAATCATTCTTTCTCGTCTTAGCACCTCACGCACATGACGACTTGACATGCGAGATGTAAAAACTCGCTAATGTCTTGACCGACACAAACCACATTGTGATACACCATTCAAACACACACACAAGCACTAGATAGCAATGACATAGACTCACAATTTATTCCATGCCATGCATGCACACACACAAACAAGGACGACAAGCTGAGTGCAAGCCATAGGGTTGCACCAACACTCCCGGCCCTCAAGTGCAGTGTATGCGCAGTGCATGCAGGACCTGCAGGGCATACCGGCAAATCGGGCAAGGGAGCTACCGACGTGCAGACCCAGTCGCTCAAGAAGCACGCCGGGACTCAGAAGCATTGCCCCGCCATGTCCAAGCAGGTTGATCTCCTGCAATTGGCGTCGAACCAGCAGCTGATCAACATGCATCCCCGCGCGGCTGATGAAGAGAAGGAGCGAGTCATCGCGCTGCTCGACTCCCTCTACTTTTGCGACAAGTGTAATGAACCCATGGAAACATGGATTCGTTTGGTGCGCTACCTCTCATCGCGCGGTTTCAAGGGCTTCCCGATGTCCGCATATGGCACGTACTATAACTGGTGAGAACTCCAGTGACTATGAACTTCTCTTTGTCTCATCTTTACATATGATACTTACAACGAGTTGGCTTATGCGTGTCGTGTAACAGGTACGGCTTCGGCGAGCTGACACAAGCAATGGCAACGTGGCTGCAGACGACTCAACTCCAACACCTGCTGGCCAGTCCCTACATTGGCCTGAGCCTCAACGAAAGCCCCGATCGCTGCCGTGGCAAGCACCTGATCGTGTTTGCCACATTCATCCGGGAAGGGTGGCTTGTAGCCTAGTACTTGGCTCTGCTGACAGTGGATAAGGCGGATGCGGCATCGCTTCTCGCACTCTTGCTGTCCCATCTGCAGGCGATTGGTGTTGACCTCGGCCGCATATCTGGAATAAGCACTGACAGCGCTGCCGTCATGATGGGATCGCGTGGGCGCTATCACAAAGAACCCCTCTGATGAACAATGCCCCGTTCATCACAATGTACCTATAGCCCAAGATGCCATAGTTGATCTAGGTGCCATAGTTGTTCATCACAGATGTTAATCCCTTCCCTCTCTCCCCGTCGCGCACCCCTGGTGTCGACCTTGCGCTACAGGTTCCTCCAGCCTCAAGAGCACCCAGCCTCAAGAGCACCCAGCCTCAAGAGCACCCAGCCTCAAGAGCACCCAGCCTCAAGAGCACCCAGCCTCAAGAGCACCCAGCCTAAAGAGCACCCAGCCTTAAGAGCACCCAGCCTCAAGAGCACCCACCCTCAAGAGCACCCAGCCTCAAGAGCACCCGGCCTCAAGAGCACCCACCCTCAAGAGCACCCAGCCTCAAGAGCACCCAGCCTCAAGAGCACCCAGCCTCAAGAGCACCCAACCTCAAGAGCACCCAACCTCAAGAGCACCCACCCTCAAGAGCACCCAGCCTCAAGAGCACCCAGCCTCAAGAGCACCCAGCCTAAAGAGCATCCAGCCTTAAGAGCACCCACCCTCAAGAGCACCCACCCTCAAGAGCACCCAGCCTCAAGAGCACCCGGCCTCCGTACTGTCTCAGTGGACATAATCCTCACCGTTACGTGATGACGGATTATGGCGATTGGTAGCCAACCTGGCGTCCATGTAATGAGTCTGTTCCTGACTCCTCGTATGACAAGGGCGGTCCTCGTACGTGAGGTCAATGATGCGAAGGGTTTGTCAGGGGGGAACCAAGGGGGGAACCAAGGGGGGAACCAAGGGGGGAACCAAGGGGGGAACCAAGGGGGGAACCAAGGGGGGAACCAAGGGGGGAACCAAGGGGGGAACCAAGGGGGGAACCAAGGGGGGAACCAAGGGGGGAACCAAGGGGGGAACCAAGGGGGGAACCAAGGGGGGAACCAAGGGGGGAACCAAGGGGGGAACCAAGGGGGGAACCAAGGGGGGAACCAAGGGGGGACATCTGCATGCGCATGGGCGCATGGGCATCAAGTGTGCTGCCCCTTTGCCTTCTCCTCCCGTGCACCCCTCACGCCCCACGCAGACAGCGCTCATCTTTGCCAACTGGGAGCAGGGCGGCAGAACAGCCGAGGATGGCATCGAGCGCCTCTTGGGGATGGCATGAGACGGCTCGCCCGCAGGTGCAGAGAGCACGAGGAGGTGGCCCGCCCCCAGGTGCACGGACGTGTCCTCTTATGCGCTGCCCCCAATCTCCTCCTCCCTCCCTTCCCTCTCTCCCAAGTCCTGGGATGGAATAGCTGGCACCCAGCCTCAAGAGCACCCAGCTATACGGATGTCATCGGGAAGACCATCCTAGATGAAGGGCATACGTGACCATTCAGTTCATGTATATGTCATTGCTAGCGCAGAAGAGCAAGCAATGAGATGTCACAGTGAAAATGTAAGAAGTGTCACACTTCTTGCCAGCACTAGCATGACAAAAGACACGCGATAACTACTTTGATAAAGGCTTGCCCAAGTGGATAGTGCGGCAAAAGTAGCGTCATCAGCAGCAGCAGCAGTTCTTGCCTAGTAGCTGAGCATGGGTGGTAATTTGATTTATTAAACTGCATCATCACTTGCATGTTGGTTTGGTCTAACAGCTGGCACCCAGAGCAAGAAGGGCAAGGAGAAGGTGGATGAAGACGGTAGTGGCCCTATGGATGAGGGGGGGAGAAGTAGAGGTTGATGTAGACAGCGAGGGTGTAATGTAATGAGTATCATTAATGAATATGGCCTCATGGCCTTAAAGCTTTTTTTTTTAACCGAGGCTGAACTTTCAACGATTTTTTTTTAGACAAGTCTTGGCACATTCAGCCTTTTTGAACCAGGGGAGGCTGAGAATGTCATAAAGTCACCAGTCCTAACCACTAGGACAAGAAGGGATGTCCTCAAGAGAGTTAGGCTCAGAACGATCAGAACGATGTTGTCAGGGTCAGCAATTGGGTGTTGTCAGTGTTACCACCCGGATCGATCGAATGCGATCGTTTGACGTGGTCTCACCCGACAACATCGTTCTCGGAACCTGAGGCTTGTGTGAGCATTCTGACATGTCGCTAACTACTTAGACCTCTATTACGCCTGAGGGAACCGTTTCATCACGGATTGCCATGTTCCCATTCACCAACGAAATCCAGACAACCAAGGCGGTCACGCCAGGTTGTCTGGTACGCTCTCGTATGACGGATCATGTTCATTACGTATGGCTACCAATTGGCGAGTAATTCTCCTCAAATTTCCTAGCACCTAAAACCTCTCGCCATTTCCATGGCTCCTCCTAGCTCCTAGCTAAACCTCATGCCATTTTATGGCTTCCTAGCTAAGCTAGTCTTGTGACATGTTGTACCCTCTACATTAATGTTCAGTAACATCTACCAAGCTTACACTTATATAATAGCTTATATAATTTAACACTAGAATCAATTTTCTGATCAATCAGATAATCATTAAATCGATTTCTGGAAAATCAGATAATGCTGAAAAAATAGGTCTGAAGATCAGACCAACAGACGGAATTTTTCTGATAGCAGGGATCCTGATGTTAAATTATATATGTTATTATATAATTGTAGGCTTGGTAGTCTTACTGAACTTTACTGTAGAGGGTACAACACCCCTCCTTGTATCCCTCTTTCTTCTATTATGATTCTCCTTTCTCTCCTCAACTTCTCGCCCCCTAGCTAAACCTCTCGCCATTTCCATGGCTCCTCCTACTTCTAGCTAGATCATTCTTCAGTTTCTAACACCTGACGCTATCCCAGCGGAGGGGTGTGTCATGGCAATGGGATAGCCCTGTCAAAACTCTTCTCTCTCTAGGGAGAGTACTAGGGAGGCTTTCCCTGGGGAAGGTGGATATATAGCGCCTAACTCTCCTAAGGACATCCCTTCTTGTCCCAGTGTGTTGGGCTGAGATAAGCCCTTAGGATCGTTTCAGAGACTAAGTCCCACTTGTACAAGATGCTTGAGTAGTGCAGCGGAAGTTGAGTAGTTGAACCCTTGCACTAGTATGTGAGAGCGAGTGATTGATTAAAAGAAACAAGCATACAGCAATATATAGAAAAATAGGAAATGAAGCAGTTTGTAGAATACAGTTGAAGAAACAGTTATCGAGTCGCACAGCGCAACCACAACGGTCAATCGCAACCTCCACTTGCGACCCTTTGAGTCCCTTCGTCCTTTCGTATTCTTTCGTCCAACCTTCTCGTGTAACCTCCGTTGACTCGCGTACCCGCTACGACTTTCCTCGAGTGTAGTGTTACACTTCAGAAACACTTAAGTCCTCGAGATATTTCCAACACTCCCCTTCATTTCTGGAGTGCTGACGTGTCCGGATTCGGTGACGTTTATCTGCCCGGTCAGCAGCATGCAGTAATCGAACTTTGCCTTCGCCGGTTTCTTCGTCAAGTAATCTGCAGCCATTTCCGTCGTAGGGCAGTAACTGAGTTGAAGTCTCCCCTTCGCGATCTCATCCTTGACGAAGAACTATCGCAGGGCGATATGCTTGGTTCGATTGGCGAACCCGTCTTTGTTCGCGATTTTGATCGCGGATTGGTTGTCGCAGAATAACGAGAAGGCAGGCATGGTCGCAATTTTTGCTTCCTCGAGCAGCTCCCACAGGTAAAGTCCCTCTTTGGTTGCAGCGCAGAGAGCTATGTATTCCGCTTCAGCCGAGGATAGCACGATTAATTCCTGCTTGCTCGATTGCCAGGAAATAGTCCCGATAGGCTCTAGTCGGTAGATGTAGCCCGTTCTGGAGCGTCGATTTTCCTTGTCTCCCGCATGGTCGGCGTCGACATAGCCGAGTACTTGTACGGACAATGGCGTTACTTTGCTATAGGTAAGCCCGGTCGTCGGCGTAGAGACGAAGTAGAGCAGTGCCCAATTTAGCTCCTTGAGATGTTCTTGCTCCGGCTGCTTCAGGTTTGTCGCCAGTTGGCTAGCGCTGTAGGACAGATCCGGTCGGCAGGTTACTGCTGCGAACAGGAGGCAGCCGAGCTTCTGTTGATATTCCTGAATTTGCTTCGCAGGGAGCTTTGCGGAGGGGTCGCTGTTGTCGTTCCCGTAGCGATTGGGAGTCGCGACTACGACCGACATTAGTCCGAATTACTTCGCGACAACGCATGTGTACTTTTCGGCATGTAGGTAGAACACCGAAGCGTCTTCGACGATGTTCAGACCCAAGTACTGGGTCACGGTGTCTGACACCGTGAGTGTTAAGTCGCTTTTCAGCTCCCCTTTGAACCAGATGACGATGTCGGTAGTGAAGCCGATGTAGAGCAGGTTATCGACGTAAACGAGGAGTAGGACAAAATCCCCCCCTTTCTGTAGTCGGTACATCCCTTGGCCGTGCGGCAGCTGCACGAAGCCGATCTCGACGAGGCGGCCGTGAAGATGCTGCTGCCAGAGCCGCGGGGCTTGTTTGATTCCGTAGAGGGATTTTACCAGCTGGCATACTTTGGTGGGATCGTCGATGAAGCCATGGGGCTGCTCGACGAAGATCTCGGCGTCCACAGGTGCGTAGAGGAAGGCGTTGGCGACGTCAATCTGGCGTAGTGGTAGCCTTTTCGTGGCCGCGACGGCGAGTAGAATACGCAGGGAGGTATGTCGGGAGACTGGGGCGAATGTCTCCGTGTAGTCGGTTCCGTATCGCTGGTCGAATCCTCGTACGACCCAGCGAGCCTTGAAGCGGTCGATGGAGCCATCCGCATTAGTCTTGATGCGGTACACCCATTTCCCCGAGAGCACATTCTCCCCGTTGGTTTTTGTTGCAGGTACCAGCTTCCACGTGTTTCGGTCTTGCAGGGCCTTCAGTTCTTTTTCCATTGCTTCCTTCCATTTCACCTTGTGTTCCCCCCCCAGAGCCTGCGACAGAGTCGTTGGCTCTCGCGGTGATGGCGGCGGCGGGCTCTGGACGGCGACCCATAGTCCAAGTATCTGCAGGCCCATGGGTGTGTGTCAAAGGGAATTTTCATTCCCGGGATAAGCTGCTTCGTCACCATCTTCGGGGTCAGGTAAGAAGTTTGGTCCGATGCGTTCAGAGACATTTGTGTCAAACGGTTGAGGTGTAGTGTAACCCTGGTCAGCGAAGTGGTAATAGGTGTCGAGGTTGTTACTATCTAGAGGGTTGTCGTCGTCGAGTGGAACGGGCACGGAGCAGTAAGGGAGTGGTCCGGCAGCTTCCGAGGCTTCAGGTTCGTCTTCTTCTGCTGCGTCAGCTTCGGCAGCATGGTCGGCGAAGGACCGATGGCCCTCGAAGCCGTCGGTGGGGTCTGCTGTGTTGGCGATGTTGTCCAGGTAATGCTGCAGTGTCAGTCGCTCATAGAAAATCACATCACGTGAGGCCACGGTGTCTTTGTCTTGGATGTCGAGAAGTTTCCATGCTTGGAAATGTTTTGCGATGCCGAGGTGTAGTCCCCACCATGCTCGTTGAGAGAATTGTCCTGCTCGAGCTGTGTGGGGTCTGTACTGTACCATGCAACCGAAGACTCGAAGTAATTTTGTGCTGCCCTGTTTTCCTGTCAGAGTCAAGCGAGTCATCGGATTGTGAGCTCCTTGCAGTTACCCTTGTGACTACCATGGTAGTCTGCTGCATAGTGCGATGATGATTATCCAAGAGCTGTCTGATACTAGCAAAGATAGCTGAGAGTGTAATATGAACCTCATGGCATGCCCTTATGTTAGAATACTAGAACAGATTGTTAGCTAGGAGTAGGAGGAGCCATGGAATGGCGTGAGGTTTTAGGTGCTAGGAGAAAATGTCGAGAGAAAAGAGGATTGGAATAGAAGCGAGAGGGATACAAGAAGGGGGTTTGTACCCTCTACAGTAGAATCCAGTAACACCTACCAGGCCTACCATAGTATATATCTCAAATATAAAATTCACACCCCCTAGGCTTGGTAGCTGAAAGCCCACCACACACACAGCACACTAAGCCACACACCCCCTAGCACCCCCATACTCAGCAGCAGTGACGACTACTCCAGCATGGTCA